GAGAGAGTGCTGGGGTCAGATGACCCCAGCCAGATGCCTATCCAGGGTTTTCTTAAAGATACCCAAGGTAAGGGAGAGCACCACTTCCCTTGGAAGCCCATTACAAATTCTGGCCACCCTTACCATGAAGAAGTTCTTCCTGATGTCCAGACTAAATCAACTCTCTGTCAGTTTGTGACCATTGTTCCTTGAACCAGAGAACAGTGCCAGTGGAAGCAGCAGGAGGGGTTCCCTCTCCCTGCCTGCTCCAGGGGTCCCTGCAGCCAGTGCTGCCACTGTGTACCCAGGTCCAGCCCCCAAGAGGCTCCACAGCTACCTGGCAGCTCCTTGCCTCCCCGTCCCCCTCTCCACCTCCCCTTCAGTTTCAGGGCCTAGCAGGGGCAGATCTGGGTGCATAGTGGTGGCATGGTCTGCAGGGACCCCTAGAGCAGGCAGGGAGGAGTAACCCCTCCACCACTCTCAGACTGACTGGGGTGATCCAGGGGTGGAGGGGGCAACTGGGGTAGCAGGGGAGTGATCTGGAGGTGGAGAGGGTGATTTGTGGGCTGGAGGGATATGAGGGGGCAGACACCTGGCAGCTCCCCACCCATCTACTCCCACCTTCCCCCTATACCTCCTCTTTCCCCCTTCAATCCTGCCTTCCTTCAGGCATCCATCACCCTTCATATCTTTTCCCTCCCTCCCCACTTACACTATCCCCATTCCAGCTGCCAGTCCAGGGCCCTAGAGCCTTAGATAATAGCTAGCCCACCTGGGAGAAGTGCCTTCTGGGACACTGAAGGACTATAAACCGGTGTTTTTGTCTCAGGTGAACACCCAGCAATTAAACTCAAGCTAGGTAGCACGCTCAAAGATAACCCTAGCCTAAACTGATATAATGTAAGATGCCTAATGGGCACTTGTTAATGAGCCTTAATGTGTGATCATACAAGTTTTAAGTGCTCATAACATGGTCTAATAGTAACATATAATCACACCCTACAATTGCAAGAGATATATCACTGGCTTGCAGTTTCTGCAACAGGAGCCTCAGTGGGGCCTTAATATTGCAAACTTATTTGTTCTAATTATGTAAAATGAGGCAAGGCGTTTCACTAGCCCTCCTCACAATTATAACCTCCATGCACAGAGGTATGCATGTGATGAACAGGAATGGGTTACATCAGTTCTGCAAAATATATTACCAGTATTCAAAAGTTTTCCAGTAGGCAGATTCAGTGGCTGGGCAAACTTCCTTAAATTACAATGCTTGGTTTACCTTTTTGAACATGGGCTCAGGTTTTGAGAATAAATTGAATTCCAAACTGAAGGATAACTTCCTCGGAGTACAAAAGCTTAGCTCTGAAAAGATTCTGCTCTATTTTCCAATACTAATGAGTCAAACTTAAGTCTTGCAGCGAAAAGCATTCTCTCCTCCTTCGCCTACTCGCCTCTCCAACAACTCTCTGGGAATACCTCTTTTATTAAGAATTGGTTTACACCATTTTGAAGTTCTCATCCACCCCAAAAGAGAAGTTTTGTTTGTTACCTCTTACCGACAGTTATTTTGACAGTTCTTTTCTGAGAGTCCATCCTCATCTTCTCCCATAATATCCACCGCTGAAAAAATCAGTGCAACCAGAATTGCAAAGCAGCATACCAGTGCAAAGATCACAATGCATCTTTGCTGGGACTGAAAGAGATTAAGAAGATTAAAAAATACATTAAAAAAGTTTTAAAGGAGTGGGTATCTTTTGAGTTTCAAACTTTTAAATATGATTTAAAATCCTTTTCAACATCTTGGTGCTATAGCTGTCAATGTGAAACATGTCTTGAGCTGAAAAGATGCTTTCAAACCCGTCCTTCAGTATCACCTTGAGCTATACACTAAATATGTCAATTATTGTTAAATAAATCATGTCACAAACACCACCAGGACTTTGTACTAGTTTCAGTCTCTTTGTACCATGATGAAAGTGCTGTCTATCAGCAGGGCCATTCCTGCATTAATTAGGTACTTTTGTTTCTGGGCCATAGGTTTTATATATACCAGGGCTGTGGCAGTCCATGGGCAACATGCAGCCCCAAAGGGGTTAAATTATAGTCCTAGGAGGAGAACCCCCATTGCTCTGGCTGCAGCAGCAGGAAGGGACTCCATGCTACTCTTCCCTATATCTTCCCTTTCCTGCCCCAGGAGACAAGGTAGGGTAGCACAGTTCAGCTTTTGGTGCCCCTGCAGTCCAGGGTGCCTGGGTGGCAAGGTGCAGGGGGAGATTTTGCAGCCAGGAGACTGAGGGTGGGTCAGGATTCAGTGGGAAAGTATGGGGAGTCAGGCAGCTGGTGCAGAAGGAAGGCAGGGAGAGGAGCAGCAGGGAGGCATATGGAGCAGGCGGGGGGAGGTGCATGATGCAGTGGGAAGCCATGGGCAGCAACAGTGGGGAGGTGCAGAGAGCAGCTGCAGAGGGTACACTCAGTGCAACAAGGGAGGCATGAGACTTTCGCTAATATGGTCCAAGGGGTATGCAGCCCCAGGTCTCTTAGAAGTTGGACAGCCCTGATATACACTAACAGATGGCACTGCGCAAGCCTTAAGAAGTTTTGTTCATTCGCTTAATTGAAATGAAATGTGTCACCACCAAAGGACCAAGGAGCAAAATGCTGTTTAATAATCTTTTTCCTGTCACTATTTATAATACTTGGCATCATCATCATCACAATTATATCAAGGGACCTAATCATGGGTTAGGGCTCCATTGTGCTAAATTGCACAACCACAGAAGATGACATTCCTTACCTCAGAAAAGTTACAATCCAAGTATAATACAACAGACAACGTTATAGACAGCCAGAGTGGAGAGCCCAAGGTAACACTGAGACAATATGGATCAACCATGATAAGCATGATAGCCCATCAAATTAAACATAAAAATTTGCATAGGATTTACTTCTATATAGAATAGGAAATACTGGGTACACCTACATGAGATGCTTTACTTGAGATTAGAACAAATTACTGTGCAGTAAGTGTCTGTACATGTAGAAGGTGGCATTTATTGCACAGTAATTTGCTCTAATCGCAAGTAAATTTGCTCCCTGTAAATAAAAGTAGCAAATTTACTCACAAATAATTATTGAGCAGTATAGCACTTGTAGATTCTTGTCTCCCAGGCTAGGGACAGACATTACACATAAACTGGTTTAAGTGATCAGAAACTGGTTTAAACCTGTAACAGAACAGATATTCAGTGCATATAAACCAGTTTGAAAATGGCTGAAACTGGTTTGAGAGACACCTGGTTGAATGTAATATCAGACTTAACTGATTTGGCTCAAAAAAGTTTATGCAATGTCTGTCCCAGACCCTGTGCTGGTTTAAGTTAAATCAGAGCCCCCCAGCATCCTGGCATGCTCGCTGGGCTGGGCTAACTGCTCCTCAACAGGGCTGGGCCCACCCCTCTGCTCCCTGCACAGACTTGCAGGCACAGCAGAGTCTGCTGGCTTCCCTGTGACCCCCCTTTCTCCCCCCTCCTCCCCCCACCACTCACTTGAACAGAAATCCCTTCCTCCTCTCTGCCACAGCTAAGACCATAGCCAGCATGTGGTATGCCAGCTAATATGGAGAGATTTTTGTGTCTCTCTCTCTCCAATTTCACTGGGATAGGCAGACAGAACAGTGACCCCTTAGGGCTTTTGAAGCTAATCGACAGGTCAGCCTGATAAGCTGTTTAAAAAGTTTGAAGTAATGTGGAAAGAAGCTAGTGTTTTGCCAATTGGGTGATAAAGACTGTTATCAGCCCCCAGGCTGTCTTGCTGGCCTATCAGCTTGGGGCAGACAGTATGAGGAAGCAGGGAGGGAGACTGAAAAGCTCTGTATCATCAACAGATGCATGCACTGCACACCCGCTTTGCCTCATAATGCTAGCCCATGGCTGGGGGCTAACAACTCTCTCACCTCTTGAACAGCCAGCAGGGAAAAGCCTGCAACTGTGCAGGAAGATCTCCTTAATCAGAGGTCCTGCTGGGGCCTGGCCATGCCGCCCTCAGCTCAGCTCCCGGCAGAAGAGAAGGGAAGGCTGTCTAGCACTCCCCAGCTTCTGGCCTGAGCTACTGCAGACCTGTGCCTGAATTTCCTCAGTCCAGAGAAAATGTCTGTCCAGTTTCAAACCAGTTCAGCCTAGCCAGGTTAGACTAACCTGCAAAGATTGAATCAATTCAAGGCCATGCTTTTTGAATGTCTGTCTCCAACTGCAGCCTCCCTTCTGTGATCACAGAGCAGGGTCTGGGAGCTCCCTGCTGCCAGGCCAGGTGAACTTTGTCTTTCCCAGGCTTTGGTGGAGGACCTCACCTTAGCAGCAGGCAGCTCCCAGGGCAGGGAGCAATCTGCCAGTCCTCACCAGGAGACAACTGTCTCCTGGCACCCCACTCCCTGCCAGCCCCTGGGCTAGCACTCAGGCAGAGTCTAGAACTGGCTGCTGCAAGGGCCAGTGTAGGGCTGGTGGGGGCAAAAATAGACTGCTGCCATAAGCAGCAAATATGCTCCCACTTCCCCACATGTGTAGACACCTGCCCCAGTTGGGTTTACTCTAGAGTAAATTACTCTAGAGTAAACACACCCACAGCATTTGCACATGTAGATGCACCCACTGTGGTGGTAACTGAGATATAGTCATGTATTAAACTGGGGTAAATGTGAACCCATTGAAAGATGAGCTCTGTCGATTTAAGTCACACAGATAAAAGGCACACATCCATTATCTTATTTTGAAAATGAATGCCTGGGTATATCTGACATGTAAATATTATGACCCAGATTAAAACTGTACCATCTCTTTTCTAGAGGAAAAATGATTGTACAAAAATGTGTACAGAAAAAGACAAGAAAATTGACTTCTATTACCACTGTTATTTCGTTAACGTTCAATATTACCTTGTAATTGAAATGTCATACCTAGAAAATGCCAAAGCCAGAGGATATTATTTCCACAAAGATGAAAAAGTATTAATCTCATGCTTGCTGCTGAACAATGAAAACCTTCAGCTGAAAGGAAATAAATATTCTCTATACAGTCTCAGATATTACATTAACAAAAATAGCAATATAACAATAACACAACCTCCACCCTGCTCTCACAAAGAGTTAGAATGTGATTTGGACTCAACATTTCTGTATGAATGTAAATCCCAGGAAGGACTTTCTGCAAGTCAGCTGAGTAGCAAGTCAACTATTCAGATCAAGAAGGTACACAGCATGGCACCTTACAACTAACTCTACCTCTCTCTGCTCAGATCAAGCCAGCAAGCAGCTACGCTCTGCAGCTGCAGGGACTGAGTTATAATGCCTCTTTAAAACTCAATATTCAAAGTCACATTCAGTTTTCATCCTCAGAGACAGGGGGACAACTTTAATTGAGTTCAGTAGGAGTTGTAGCATTTTATCCACTACATTATGCTACATGCACATTTTAAATATTATGAACACTGCACAAATCATAAGCTTGACATCTGCTTTTTATGTTATAAACATTTCTTGCAACACACACTGTATAAAAACATACCAACAATGCAGTGCAGGAAAATATACTTCTCAATATTCTTGGATTGATTTCAGGCATCCTCAAAATCTGTTCCTGAGATAAATGCAATTGATGTAATGTTATGCTGCTAGCATATTCCTGGCAGTAGATTTCATAATGACTGCATTTAGTCCCAAAGATCAGAGTCTGCAGCCAAACATGGACAGGAAATTAGAA